GGTGGGTAAAGATATACTCTTTTTTATCGACTCACTTGGGAAACCGGGAGACACACCATTTCAAGTAGCCGGCTGCAAGGAGAGGGGGTAGTACCTGTAGTTCCATTGACCCCCATATACTCGTGGGAACAAAAATGTCCCAACAAAATAAACAAACCAAAAATACTAAATCGTCGGTATACAAGGAGGACTTGTCCTCCGAGGAGCTTTTAAACTTATCAGAAAAAGGTTACCTCTGATAAGATAGATGAATCTCTGGTAGGGGAATTACTGAAAACCCTAATGTAGGAATACTCCACGTCCAAACGGAGTTAAAGGAGAAAGAAATAATGGAGGTGGCTTGTGCTATAGTGCAGGCCCCAGTAGAAGATATGGATGTGGACGAACTGAAAAAGCCAGACATGGTTATGATGGGAAGCAGCCTATCGCATTCTGGACTCGACCAGACGGAGAGCGGGGACCATGAGCCCAGAGACTCGATAAGGAATGCGAAGAGGCGCAATAGGAGGAGGGCAAAGGCCCAATATCTATTAAGCCCACAAGAAGAGAATAGGCCACCTGTAGAGAACTCTGCCGAGGAAGCAAGGGCCCCAAAAGGCCTGGCGGACAATGCAGAGAGTCTTGAAAGGGAGACCATCAAGGGCAAACAACCAGCGAATTGGAGCCTACTCAAAGGCAGGTAGTGGAGGATGCAAAGGCCCTAAAAGGCCTGGCTAACGAAGCTACCGCGCCGGAGGGGAAAGCTCCAATACCACAGACAGGGGATGAGAAAGACACACCCAAGAGGCCAGCATCTAAGTTTGCGAGGCCATACCGGCCAGCAGCTAAGAATGCGAGGCCTCAAAGGTTGAGGTGCAGATCAAGACTGCCTGTGGAAAAAAGAGCTAGGAAATCCCTAGGAGCTTCAGCTATAGCAGCTAAGAAACCGAGAGAGGCTGAAAGGCCTAGAAACTATGCAAAAGACAGTTGGTCGCGGTAGTTCCTGTCGACTACCCGCAGATCCAGCTTACCTACGATCAATGCGAAGAACTCAAGGAAGCAATCGCCAGTAAAATTGACGAATTAACAACAGGAACATTCACCTAAAGTTCGACGGGGTGCTTTTCAAGCTCGGTGGATGTCTTGTATCCTGCCTAGATTGCACCATACAGTGCAATGGTTCAAAAACAACACCGAGCTTCACAATCAAGGAAGGCCTAACCCTACTAGCTTGTGAGGCAGGTGATTTAACTAAAATCATCAGGATTGGAGTCTTCTTTCCAGGAAAGGCCCTACCTCCTGATTATTACTTAAACCGGCTCCAGATTCAAAACCAATATATTACTGGAATCAACACCTGAACCGTGTTTAACTTCAAGGCTCTGGAAAGAGGATCCTTTGGAGTATTTAACATACCGGAGATTAGCCTCCAGAGCCTCACTTCACATGGAATGCAGGCCTGCTGTGGGATATACGTCATTACCTTCAGGCACTTGGCGTCAGGAAGTAAGCCTGCTCCGGAGGAAATGCAGGAGGAGGCGCCGAGATCAGGCATATCTAAGGAGAGGGAGAACAGGGAATCTTCCTCTTCTAAAAGTAGTGAGTCGAGGACGGGGTCGAAGCCGTCAGCCAGGTCAAGAGAGGGGGCTAAGCCAAAGGAACCAGTGAAAACTGGTTACAGAGGCGAATCCCGGCCACTGGCGCGGTCTGGTGGCCAGACCTCTGTCTCGCAGCACTCCTCTAACACTGGTGGGGGTTCGAAAGCGAGGTTGAGCGGTGGACGTGAAGGAGTACTAGCTATGCACTCTGACACTCTAATCCGAGAATATCAGGACCGAAAATATAAGGTTGGGATAGACAGCAGCAGGCAACATAAACCAAATAGTGGTATAAATTGCTACACAGATGGCTCTCTGGAGCAGGCATCTATCGCAAAGATATCAAAGAAACAATTTCTATACCACTTGGCAGACATGCTTCAGTATTGCAATCTGAGATACTGGCAATCTGCCATTGTGCACAAAACCTACTGCGAAGCAATGTGACTGGGAAAAAGATTACCATCTATACTGACAGTCAGGCAGCAATAGGTGCTATTAACAACTATTATGTTTATCCAAAGGTCGTTAAGGAATGCAACACAGCACTTAACGAGCTAACTGAGCACAATAGAGTTGCAGTGGAGTGGGTGCCTGGTCACTCGGGCATACCAGGCAACGAGGTGGCTGACGAACTAGCCAGATTGGGCTCAGATACCATTCCTGTAACTCCCGAGCCTGTCTGTGGAATCAGCCTCAGCACTGCCAAGGGCAGGATCAGGGAGATTTATGGGAACAAATTCAGTAATTACTGGACCGACAAGAAACAGCGACATTCGAAGCTGTTCCTTAAAGGTTCATGTGAAAAAAGAAGTAAACTGCTACTGAACATGAACAGAGCAGCCCTTAAAAAGCTTACAGCAATCTATACAGGTCACTGTAAGCTAAACTATTATATGTTCAATCTCCGAGTAATAACGAATCCGCTATGCAGATTCTGTCAGGAGAATGAAACAGCTTTTCACATCATATGCAGATGTGACAGATTTACAAGGCTGAGACTGGTGGTATTTGTGGAGGAACAAATGGATCTCCCCAGAAGTTATGAGTCGGTCAATCCAATCAGCCTACTTAGATACACGGAAGCAACAGGATTAATGTTTTAATTAAAACGACCAACTGAAATTGGCGCACAATGGACCCATTAGGGGTTGACGTGCTCATGGCCAACACGAAAAAAAAAAATTTTGGAACTAAAAAAATTCCCTGACTTCAACAATTTTTCCTTGACTTTTCCAGGTTTTCCAGTTTGGTCGCCACCCTGTTTTTCCCATGATAAGATACAGTGACTGCAATGATTGATAGGCGATATTTTAAGCTTCTAGAAGCTTAAAATATTCAAATTCAATATTCAATTCAAGTTGCATCACATGGATATTCTTAAGTAATTGTCTGCTAGTAATCTTCCAAAGTGAGGAATTCCACACTTATTGTACTATTAATGGAATTTTTCAAAAGTTTATTGCACCAGAGCATCTTGTCACAAATGGTCTGGCAAAACGTAACGTTCAAACTCTAAAATACAGACTAAGGGATGCTGCGAATGACACTAATGCTATTGAAGGTGTTATTTCGGTATAAAGCCACACCCCTGGCCTGTAGAAAATCCCTAGCAGAGATTTATCTACACCGCCAGTTCAAAATAAGATTGGATGCTATTATCCTGTCTAAACCCCAGAATTCACTTCATATCCATGCCGTTCCCTTCAAGTGGGGAGAGGGTTTAAGTTCGGCTAAATATAAACAATAAACAAGTGTGAGAATTTGAAAAGAAGTTTGGCTCCCGGCATTATAAAATTTTGTTGGACTCAGGCAGGTCAGCAAAGTGGCATATAAACCAACTGAGACCAACACTTGTTCAAAAACCTAGGAAATAAGTCTCATTTGGTCCAAGGCCAATCTTTTGACGCTCTGAGGCTACCATTTTCCAGATCTCCTACTGTGGAAGAGACTGAGGTAGGAAGTAGTGAGCGTTGTGAACTAGATCTACAAACAAATAATTACCCTACTCTTCCTCAATATCAAATCAGATGAGTAATTTTCAAAATACAGGCATACCAAGGAAAATATGTGTCCGCATTCTTCACCAAAAAAATAATGGAATTTGGTAAGGGAACATCTAAATAACTAACCAACCTTATTGGATAAATTTTACATATCAGTACATTTTATGTATTTTATTTGGTTTTTATATTCATTACCATAGACCAAAAAGGGCATTTGTGGGAAATAATTTAACAAGTTTTAACCTTCACAGGAATTTTTCTTATTAGGATCAGAAATAAGAATCAAAAAACCAACCCTCTCACCCTCACATTTTACATTCTTTGTCAATTTTTCTCATTTAACTTCAAATCCATTGATCCAACAGAGATAATGGAATTAGTATGAAAATACTACTCATGTAATTCTACATAAAAAGTGTTCTATTAATAAATCGGCTGGTACTGGTTTTGAGTAAATGGCTTTCGAAGCTGAGAACAGTTTGAAAAGTTGCACAACTTAGACCAAAAAGGCAATAGGTGAGAGAGAAATAATTTATAAAATTTTGACCTTCATAGGAGGCTTTCTTTTTAGGGTCAGGAATAAGAATCAAAAGTTATCACCCGTCAGTTGGACGAAACATCCCTAAATTCGCGCAAAACCACTCCTCCCCATCACCGCATTTGGCATTTTGTGTCAGTTTTCTTCATTTAACATCAAATCCATTGATCAGACAGAAATAATGAATAGGAATGAAAATAATTCTCAAAAAATTCTATATATAATTTGTTCTATTAATAATTTGGCTGGTACTTACAGGTTTTGAGTAATGGATTTTAAAGTTAAAAACAATTTGAAGCACTTAGGAAAAAATTATTGTATAAGGCCTTCGAATAAAAATATCTGAAAATTATTTGATTATTAACAGAACACATTTTATGTAGAATTTTATGAGGAATATTTTAATTCCTATTCATTATTTCTGTCTGACTAATGGGTGTTTTATTCATCAGACAAGTGGAATCTCTTTTCATTCCTATTCCTGATCCTAAAAAGAAAACATTCTGTGAAGGGCAAAAATTTATAAATTATTTCCTTCCCCTTCCCAAACCCTAAAGTTATGGGACTATTGATAAGTGACAGTTATAGAAACAGAACCAAATCAGTTCTGTAATGTTTAAAATATAAAAATGAATGGAGAGTTTCGATTCTGAGATGAAAACTTTTATTTTCATCATGATTAAGAATCTTCCTTACAGAAGTGAAGAAGCAATAAAATAAAAAAAATTACCATATATTATTACCAATTATTTTAGAAAAAAATATAACCAAAAGATTAGAAGTTATGATAGAAAACTGATAAATTGAACATTTAAAAATATATCTTTACTGATAGTTATAGATATCTTTTGTGATAGTGAAGTGTTAAACTGAACTTACCTGAATTTGTTTGTCCGAGTTTCACCCCCAACATTTCAATAAAATCTTGATCACATCCATTAAGGCAACCAATATAATGCTGCGGATAATATGGTGCCATAGAGCCAGGTGAAAATTTGAATTCTAGTTTTTTCACATTTGGTCCACACTGTAAAATTATCATTTGAAACACTGGTGATCTAATTATTAAATATTAATAAAAATCAATCCAACTTACAGTTTCACAACTTTCTTCTGAAATTGAGAGCTGCATCACTTTAGATGGTAGCCAAATAGAATTTTTACAGGCAGGATAAGCTGAACAAGAAATGTATAAAGTTTCTTGATGTTTTCTAACAACCATATCATTACCACATGTATTACAAGGCATGACTGATGCAGTTCGAGTCATTATAACATTGAGTGGATCTTCATTATCTGCTAAGTGGATAGCATTTTCTCCCATGTACTTACTCATAGCTGCATCAATTTTATTCACCTAAAATTAATTCAATTAACTTAGATTGTTGCTTACAATACAATAACAATTCCCAAATAAGATAAAAGACTCAAATTCTTTTGATAAATCACATTATAAAGGAAGGATTTTTTTTTTTTTTTTTTTTTTTAAGTAAGGAGTGGTTAATAGAAGGTATAAAAAAAAAAAAATTACACTAAACAGTCAGGGTAAGTCTAAAGAAAGATTGGAATGTTCCTAAATAGAACAGAAACAAAACATAACAAAAATGACAATATATGGATGACATATAGGACAATATTTAGGAATATCGTTTTTGTCCTCCACTTCCTCGCCGTTTAGGCTACATGGAATTTTCCCAGACCAGGAAGTGAGGGTTGGGAAATTAATGCCTCAGTTAAAAGCCCCTCTTCCACCTCCCCCCCTCCTCCTGGCACCAGGATGCTTACTAAAAATTATTTTCATCAGATTGCCTATTATACAGATCCTACAATTCAAACGCTCCTTTCAATCATGTCCCACCAGATCTCGTGCATCCGACCTCTATCCTCCTCCTCGCCAAACTGCTGGACTCTATACCCTCAGATATTTGACAAGCAAAATCAAATCTCTCCTCATCAAACACCTAATCCATTCCCAATCCGATTGATCACAAAATACACTTAAAAACCTAAGCTGTAAGAATCTCAAAGTACACCCAGATACTTTGATTATTTTGTGATTCAATGATATTTTGTTTACTTAATTTACTTTCTCTGTTTATTTTATACTTATACACGTTTTATATCTTTTATTATCTATAATTTTATTGTATTCCTAATCATCCTGTAAATATCTAATTGTATTTTGTGGACACATCAGAATATTAATATATATTCTGTATTTGTAACTTGTTCTAAAGGGACGCTACTCCCAGAATAATAAAATTATTTTCATTCATTCATTAATAAACATAATTTATAAAAATACTAAAATGGTATTATATAGAATGTAACTAAATTAGAACTATTTTATTATTTTCAAAACATTTAAAACTTCGTATCTCAATGGCTATATGATATGAAGAAATAAATTTCATCTAAAACTTAAACTATTTATCTCTACTACAAATATTGTTCCACCAAAATTTGTCTTTTTCAGATAACATATAAAAAAAAAACCTTAATTTTTATTCGTGTTAATTTGACTGGATTATTAGCCTTCATAGCTATTTAGTGAAATTATTGGTCAGATTTCAATTCATTACTAGGAATATACAAATATAAAAAAAATTATAGAATCTCAATAATACCTGCTCTTTTGCTTTTTGAAAGAGGACTTTATACTTATTAACTTGTTCCTGAAGAACTATGTTAGATTGTTTAGTTCCTTCACATATCCTGAAATAAAAACTTCAATAAAAAATCTGGTGTATGCAACACACAATTTTCACTTACTGCTCTACTTTATAATACATCATCATATGAACCAATTAGCCTACTCCCATTCCTTTCAAAAATTTTTGAAAAAATCCTACTGAAAAGAATCCTACCTATAATAGAATCCCAAAAGCTTCCTACCCACCAATTCGGATTTCGCTTCCAACATTCCACTGTCCAACAAGGACTCCGATTTGTTGACCACATATCCTCAGCTCTAGAAAGCAAAGAGTGTTGTTCGGGAGCATTCCTGGACATCGTGCAAGCTTTTTACCGGGTATGGCACGCCGGACTGCTCTTCAAGCTTAAATCCCATTCCTTATATCTTATCCTCCGATCCTACCTCTCTGACCGCTCCTTTCAAGTTCGCCACTGGAATACAAAATGGCCACCAGGGGAAGATAGATAGAGAAATTAATGCCGTTTGATACATATTAATCTTTGTCAAGGATGAGTGTGCCCGACAGCAATTTATACATTTATTATAGAAAATTTATACATTAAATCTGAAAAGTTACAAAAAGTCGACATGGGAGGGCACAATCTCAAATTCCACAGTATTTTCATAAAAAGCTATCCCGAAAACATAATATTCGGCTCTGACATCGATTAAATCAATTGCAGGAAACAAAAAGTGGCATCCGAAAAAACCAAATGGCTGTTGGGCAAGCTCAGCCTCTACAAAGATTAATAAGTCTCAAACAGTAGTAAATATGAATTCTATAGTCCGCCTAAGCGCAGGAAACGAAAAAGGGCCATTTGAAAAAACGAAATTGCTCTCGGGCACACTCATCCTTGACAAAGATTAATATGTATCAAATGGCATTAAATAAGAAGTCTAAAGGCTGCCTAACCACAGGAAACGAAATGGTGCATATTGGTAAATTTTTTTTTTGTTATTCCAGAACAGTGTTATTTCTGAAATATTTATTTCTTGATTTTTTTAAATAATTTATTTATGAAATCAACAAATCTTAAATAATTATTTCAGGAATAACTCATTTCGAAATAAATTACTTTATTCCAAAGCATATTAAAATATTGAAATAATTATTTCTGAAATAAATTTTGTAGTTATTTCATAGAGATTATTTCATTGACAATTTGAAATATTATTTCAGAAATAACCATTATTCCGGAAATAATTCATTCATGGAATAATCATATGATTTATTTCAGAAATAAATTATTCCAAGAATGCCCAGTTCTGCTGCAGATATAGAAAGCTACCAATCCTTTAAATTTATAGTATTTCCTGTTTTATCAGTCACTCAATATTATACCTCTCACCGTTTCCATTGTATATTACAAGGTATACAATTTTTCGTATGAGAATAAAATCTCCGAGAGAAGCAGAATTGGAATAGCCGATTACAGTTACCCTTCAACATTCAACAAAAGAGTGTCGTATTTGAAGATTCCATACTTCATTATGCTTAAAAAAAAAAAAAATAAAAAAAAAAATGCATACTGAACATGAATTTCAATACTGTTAGTGCAAAAGGTCTTATGTAAAAATGTATTTATTGTTTTACAAGAGTGCATAAAAACTCATTATTTCTTTATGCTTTATTAGAATAATTTCATATTTTATTGTCATCTGCTATTTTCCATAGTAGCAGACTACTTATATCAGTTGCAGACTACAAAATGTCACCTTTAATACACATAGAATAAAAGTTGAAAATTTTTACATACGACCTTTTGCACTAATAATGGTGACATACACTACCGGATCCAGATTTAATTTTTGGGGGAAGGGCTTCAGCAAATTTTTTTTTCATATAAAAATATAACGATAATTAATTTGAAAAAAAAAATGCTGCAAATTATTTCACAATGGTATATTATTTCCAAACAATTATACATATAAAGTAACATTACCTTCCTAGTTATAAAGAAAAATAAATAAAAGGTGATTTCAATTATTGGACTAAACTTTTTTTTAATCATTAGTAATATGCTACAAAAATAGCATTACTTCAGTAACACATTCAAAAATCAAAACAAAAGATAAACCTTTGCAATAGCGTATCTAAAAAAAAAACTAGAGACCATATCTTTGCTCCTAGTTGTCCGATTTTAACGAATTTTTTTTTGTTTTTTAGGAAATTCCGTAAACTTTTAAAAAACCATACAATATTGACAAAGATGTGTATACTTGTTGAGTTATTCGGAATTTAATTTTACTATCCCTCGTAACTTTTTTTTCAGCTTCTTTTCGTTGAAGTATGTTATATAGATAAATTTAAAGGGCATAGAGAAAATGACTTTAGCGAAGTTTCATTGAAATCAGTAGATTCGTTTAGGCGCTACAGTCTATAGCAACGCAGGTTTTTCAGCCACCATTTCGAAACTAGAAGGCGAATAGTAATGTCGTTGAAGGAGGATCATCCTCGGGTGACCTCTGATTTTATATCCAAATTTGAAAAAAATCGGTCCAGTTGCGCATTTATAAGAGAAAGTGGTGGACAGAATTCAATAAAATTGACACTACATTATTTTTTCACCAAAGTCTACCTTTTATTTAACTTTGAGCCAAATCGAACGAACACTTTCTGAAATATTGGCATATCTAAAAAAATATGTTTTCGCGTGTGTAAGCGGAAGTGCTGGATGGAATTTGATAAAATTGATATAGGACCATCTAGGCACCAATCAGCATAATCCCTGAAAATTTCATGAAGATTGGATGAACGGTACTAGGTGATATGCCCGTCACATCGATTTGACTACAGACAGACAGACAGACACCGAACAAATTTGATCCTTGATGTCTGAAACGTAAAACGCGAGTGGAAATTTTCGATTCTGAGCAAAAACTTTTTTTTAATCTCTCGCACGAACACAATGCTTCTCTACCTTCGGTAGTGAGGAAGCCAAAGTCCATAGGAAGTGTAAAATATTCAGAAAACAACCATTTTCAAATGAAGATTCAAGTCCATATATAGGGGAAATAAAAATTTATAAACGTATTTTGAGGGAATCTGAAAAAGAATGTTACAGATCTGTAGTTGATAAAATTTCAGAACCAAAAAATAAGAAAGAATTTTGGCAAACAATAAAACAATTTAGAACAAAAAATAACGTTGATTTAGAAATATCATTAGAAACGTTTGAGAATTTCTATAGACATTTTTATTCCTCTCCAAATCCAAATATTGAAACAAAGTTCAAAATAATAAATTCATTTATCGACTGTGATATATCGCTAGAAGAACTGCAAATAGCCATTCATCATATGAAAAGAAATAAATCTCCATGCAACGACGGGATACCTTCTGAATATTACAAATTATTAACTCCTCAATGGGAACACTATGCTCGTAATCTTATGAATAAAATCTACCAATATGAAGACATTCCTATAAGATGGGCGAAAATAATAATTAAACCAATCTTCAAAAAGGTAACAAAAATGACTGAACAATTATAGAACCATAGCATTATTAAACACAATTACCAAAATATTCACTTACCTTTTGAACAGCTGTCTTATACAGTGGTAAGAAATCTATGACATAATTCCGGAACAACAAAACAGTTTTCGTAAAAATAGAGGATGTAGAGATAGAATCTTTGCTTTGAGGTCAGTTATAAATATCAATTTGAGACTTTATTTTATCTTTAATTTATTGAGACTTTATTATTTAATCAATGGGATAGTTATTGATTTAAAAAAAAAATTTGACACTCTAAATCATAATGAGCTATGGCAAAAGCTGAATAACATTGGAGTGAATGCAAAAAATAATTAAAATACTCAAATAATTGTATGACAATATGAAAGTAGTGGTAGAAATAAATGGGATGATGTCAAACCCAATAAAATTAACAAAAGGAGTACTCCAAGGTGATAAAGCAAGTCCATTACTCTTTGCACTGTACATCTTGGATATTGTTCAGTATTTTTATCAACTTCAAGCAAGAGGGTTAGCTCTTAAGAACTTCTAATGTTATTGGTTTGTGGATGACATAGTGATACTTGCAGAGTCATGAGTGGATTGCCAAAAGAAGTTTAATATATTACAAAATTATTGTTAAGAAAATTTAATGGTTCCCAACAAAGAAAAAATGAAAATAGTATTGTTCCAAAAAGGTGGTGGGAGAACAAAAGCACTCAAACAAAAACAGTTTTTATAGCAAGGAAAGCCCATTCAAATAGTTATTTAGGAATACAATTTAGTTCAACCAGAAATTTTTTTTAAGCTACAAATATTTTTATAGTTTATGTTTTGAGTCCCAATTTTCCAATTTAATTCCTTGTAAAATGGTCAGGATTGTTGCAATTAAAAAAACAAAAATTGCTATTGCAACAATCTTGACCATTTTACAAGGAATTAAATTGGAAAATTGGGACTCAAAACAAAAACTATAAAAATCTATCATCCATTCAACTTTATTATACTGTTCAGAAATATGGGCACTACAATATTGTCCTAATTTGGAAACCATTACAATGAAATATATCAAACTGATTTACAAATGGTTCAAATATACATCGAATTACAAATTGTACGTTTAGAATCTGATGGTAGTAAATATAGTAAGAACTATAAAAGTAGAAGTTGTTAAAAGAATGTACAGATGGAGAATACTCTACTAAAATTTCTGAAGATAGAAATTCACAGATTTGCTACAGCAGATTAAAGGAATTGGACAGTAATTCCAATATGGGTTTTAATTGGTACTCTCAGCTAAAAGGAGAATTATTAATAATAGGTGCAGCTTCCATTTTAGAACATAATAATGACCTGATCCTGAAGTTGCTCAATTATATCTCAAAGACATTATAAATAGAGTTGAAAATCACTACGTCTCCAACGATATAAAATTAGTCTTCAAATCGAATTATAATTCCGAATATAAAAATATGAGTAGGCTAACCAATGGAGAACAATACTTGAGACCAAACACAATTAAATACAGAACAATCAGTCACCTTGGAGTAGCCAATCTCA